GTAGCCTGGCCTGTATTTGAGAACACCAGATCTCACATGTGGCCTGGCCTGTATATGAAAATACCAAGTCACACATGTAGCCTAGCCTGGAACTTGTGGCAATTCTTTTGGCTCTGCTCTTGAAGTGCTTGTATACTGGCATGGGTCATCACACAGCTTCATTTTGAAGTATTTGGTGACTTTTTAAGGTCTTTGTACTATCTAACCCCAAAGTCCCCCTAATGAACAGTGTAGTCACTAAAAACAACCTGCAAGCAGACCACGAAAACTTCTGGTTCCCAGTGCCACCCACCCGGTCCTCTTCTGTTTCCTCTGCTACCTATCACAGTTTAGTGATTAGCAGTAGGGAGGTCTTACAGGCTCACTAACTAATTCTGAATCTGGCTTCTATCACTTTAAAAACCAATTAATATAATACCTCTGAGTCTAAACAGCCTCCCCCCAGCCCCCCCCACCTGTTTTTCAAGATCTAGTTTCTCTGTATCTTTGGAGACTGTCCTGGAACCAGCTCTGTAGACCAGGCTGGCCTCAAACTCACAGAGATCTAATTGTCTCTGTCTCCTGAGTGCTGGGATTAATGGCACATGCCACCACCACCAGGTCAAATTCTCTCATTTTAATACTTAATCCATAAACACAATGTTAGAGGAGAAACACAGATGTCTCAGCAGGTAAAGCCCTTCAAGTTTGACACGAGTTCAACTGCCAGGGCCCACATAGAAGAGGATCAAACCCCAATTCCTTACTCCCACACACAATAAACTAATAAAACGTAACCTTAAAAATATTTAAAGAAAAATCACCGGGCATACTGACATGTCTTTAATCCCAGTTCTTGGGAGACAGAGCAGGATGATTGTCTGAGTTCAAGATCAGCTTGCTCTACAAAGCGAGTTCCAGGACAGCCAGAGCTACAGAGTAACCCTGTCTCCAAAAAACAAACCAAAAGAAAATGGAAAAAAAAAAAAAGAAAAGAAAAAATCTAATATGATAAAACAATGTTCTAAAAGGAATCCCAATCAAGCCAGTTGGATTAGGATGCCTATATTACAAAGGAAGGGCATCTCTGTTACTGACTTTTAAAGTACACCTATAGTTAGAGTGTGAATACTAACTTAGCTCTACAACTTCCATTTGAAATCTGGTGACAAAAAAAAAAGGTGCCAAAGTAATATTACCAGTATAGCATACTTGCATCATTTTCACTGTTCAAATTTTGTAATCTAGGTCAAATACCATATATAAAACACAGATTCTGAGAACACCCAAGTATGCTCTTGATATGGTCCCTCAATGAACACTAAGGGAACTTATTCTTCATCAAGTTACTTCTATAATTAATTAGAATGCCTCAACCCCAAATTCTGCTCCTCTCTTCATTTTCAGCCATCACCTCCTTATAATTTGTTTTCAACTCACCCAAAGCAAGAGTTAGTTAAGTGGAGAAGCTGCCTCACACATTGGCATTGAGGGCAGGAGGTCTCACTTCTAAAAACTCCCCAGTCAAGCCTGCCACCAAGGCTCCTGGCCACTGTCAGAAGCACTTTAGTTAGGCTACTGCTGTTCCTAATATCACAGTCAGTCTTCTGAATAGGGAAGGTGAAGAACCTGCTGTAGTGAAGAAAGCCAGTAGCATATCAAGATTTGCCACTGGTGTTTGCCATCATCAAGGTGCGTCACCAGGCATCTAACAAGACTGTAAAGGGGCAGGGGATCACCAGAAACCCAACCCAGAGGAAGGACATTTTTTACTTGCTCATGAGGCAGCTGTGGCCTTGGGCCCACCTAACAAAAGAGAAAGGTCTGAGTGTATGTGATGAGAGAGGTGAAGAAGCTGCCTTTGCTACTCATTATCCTATAATCAAAAGCCAGAGGTTAAGAGGTTAAGAGTCCTAGCTGCTCTCCCAAGGACCCAGGCTGGGTTCCTAGTGCCCACCATGGCTCATAACCACCTGTAACTCCAGTTCCAAGGCATCTGATGTTCTCTCCTGCCCTCCATGGGCACCAGGTGTACACATGGTGCACCATACATACAAGTAGGGAAAACTAAATTCAAATAAAAAATTAAAAGCAAAATTGAAAAGTCTCATACACATAAGAGGAATTTAAAACAAATAAATGGCTTTAAATGTATGGCACAATTTCCTTTAAAAATCTTTCACATTATCAAGCAGTGCTTGCTACTCCTCCTCATTATTCAAGAAAAACTACAGTCACATAAATTGCCAAATAATTTAGTCTGCAAGCTCAGCCTTCATGAAGAGAATAGAAACTTGTTTTTTTGGTTTTGGTTTGTTTTTTGAGACAGTGGCTATCTTAGAACTCACTATGCTGACCAGGTTGGCCTCAAACTCACAGAGCTCTGTCTGCCTCTGCCTCTGCCGTACTGGGATTAAAGGGATTAAAGAAGCATGCTAGATCTAAGAATAAGAGGGGTGGCTCTGAGGTTCACAACACACCAGGCCTTACAGGTCCAGTCAAGATAACATAAATATCTGTTTTAAAATGAGTTTAAATGTGGTGAGGTGCTACACCAGCACCAGGCAGAGGCAAGGAGATTGCAAGTTTGAGGCTAGTTTGGGAAGACCTCATCTCACAGACAAACAAACAAACAAAACAAACAAACAAACAAAAAGGGGGTTATGAATACCACAGCATGGAGCCCAGCATCCCCAAGGCAGTCATGCAACACAGCTATGCTCTTTTTCTTCCTTAGGACAACTAAAAATAAAACAATGTACTTTTCATCACATTACAAAAGATAAGTGGAGTGGCAACTCAGACCCCAGACAGAAGACAGCAATCAAACACAAACACACATGATGGTACAACCAGAAACCCCACACTTGGGAGGTAGAGGCAGGAAGATCAGGGGTTCCAGGTCAGCCATCACTACTAAACCATCTCAGGAATGTTGGGGATGGGGTTGAGACGTCCTGTAGGGAAAGGTGCTTGTTGCCATGCCATGACCTGACTTTGACCCTTAGGTCTGTCTCCCATGGTGGTAGAAGAAAACAGACTCTCTAAAGTTACTCTCATGTCACTGTGTACCCAAGCATGCACAGCAACCACACAAAAGAAAGAAACTAACAGGCTGTTAAAAACTGAAAGTAGAAACCTCAAACAACTTAGAACCTAATGGAAATCTGAGATTTACAAAAACTCCCTGCCACCTGACCCTTTGAAATATAATGTCCTACAATGGCACGGGTAGGAAGCTTTCTAGTTTCCCTTAAAAGAAAACAAGTATCCAAACGGCATGGCTGTGGTTCTGCAATGGGTGGTACTCACCTGAGGCGGAGTTCATCAGGGTCTGAGGCACTGCTGTGCTGGCAGGCGTAGGGACATTCAGTTGGGAGAGCATGGCCTTCCTGGGGTCCTGCCATGTTGTTGTCTGATCGATGTGACTGAGACAAAGAAAAGTGAAAGTCAGACCATTACTCCCTAAGAATGGCTCCCCTAATTAGCAAAGGAGATCAAATGAGAACATCCTCACCACACTGCCCCAACCCTGGCAGACAGTCTTCACCCTGTAGCACTCACGGACACTGTCACCTCTGAAATGTGTAAGTATGCCATCTGAAAAGGGTCACATATGGAGTCTTAAGTGACAAGAAACCCATTTCCTAGTACACAGTGTCTACACAGTGTCACTTCTAATTCAAAAAGAAAGTGGTGTCTAAACCACCTAGGTGGAAATTGTGACTAAAACTCAGGATTGGCTAAAAATGACAATTTAACAACAGGCTTTTAGGTCTCAAAGCATAGTGTCCTATTAAGACACATACTCTAGCACCAGTCTCTCCTTCCTGTGAAATGTGACCAGCTGCCTCAGGGTCCTGGACAGCAACCACAGCATCCTGCCATAATGCAGCAGTTGTAACCCTTGCACTGAGAACTAAAATACACCCTCCTGCCCCTTCTCTCTCAAATGATGTTTGGCATGCATTTTATCACAACAATGAAAGCAGTAATAAATACACAATTGTTATAACATGGAAGGAGAAGACCACTCATAAACAGCTTAAGTAAAAGCACACGACATTAATCCCAGCACTCAGAAGGCAGGGACAGGCGGATCTGTGAGTTCGAGGCCAATCTTGTCTACAAAGCTACACAGAGAAACCCTATCTCAAAAAACCAAAAAGGGGGAAAAAACCCACAAATAATATCACAAGTCTTCCTTTTTGTCTAACACAAAAAGAAGGCTACAACTAACATAAGAAAAACCATATACAGGCCAGGCATTGGTGGCGCACACCTTTAATCCCATACTCTGGAGGCAGAGGCAGGCAGATCTCTGTGAGTTTGAGGCCAGCCTGGTCTCCAGAGTGAGTGCCAGGATAGGCTCCAAAGCTACACAGAGAAATCCTGTCTCGAAAAACCAAAAAAACAAAACAAACAAACAAAAACAAACAAACAAAAAAAACCCAAACCTATACACAGTAAGTAGAATAAGTATATATACAGGCAACAAGTTCATCAACAATGTCTCATCCATTTGCATTTGACAATTTCACATAAAATACTTCATTATCCTACCTTGGTGAATCCAAAGTCTTGTACCTAATTTATTTTCTATTCGAATTTGCATTATCAAATCATCTTTTAAAATACTTTACATTTCTTCAGTGAGTTTCTTTAAGTCTGGTAAACAAGTAAAACTATAAAAGGCTAGAGACTGTAGCTAGAAAAGACAGTAAGTGCTTCTATCTGTGGGGACACAGAAGAGTTCAAACTCAGAAAAGGCATGGCAGCTGTCATTAACATGTAACAGTGTTAATTCAGGTAAAAATGTGCAAGTTCTCTTTGGCCAGTTCTCCATGGCTGTCGCCACTGTGGAGGCGGTAGTCCTGAGGGTCAAGGCCATGTAGCCTAAACTTGGTTCAAATTTTATTCCCTAAGCCTCATATAGAGGGTGACTGAGTTCTCATCAGACTCGGGCTTACTCTAACTTCCCAGCCCTGTACATAAACCGTCTATCCTCATACAAGTCACTAAATCTTTACCAAACTATCAGATACACTTTTCCCCTTAAAAAAAAAAGAAAGTTTTTTTTTTCTATACTTTGTTATGTGTTATAGGCACTCTACATCTGAGCTGTTCCTGTAAACTTCCCACAAACATATTGAGTTTCTCCCCCAAATCTTAGGAGAAGCTCCTCACTGCTGAACTCTGGTGCTCTGACTTCAGGCGGTACCAAAGATCTTGTTTTTTCCCAGCAACTTAAGACAGTGACAAGAGCAGCTTTCTTCCCCTGCCCGAGAAGGCTTGCACTTCACATGATCCATCTCTATAAGAGCATGTCTGGCTGGATTTTATTTAATTTAAACTCACTTATTGAGGTCACCGTTCAGCAACTGCTCTACAAAGTACCTAGTTCCCACTAAATTTAAAGACCAAGATGCTTTCTTTATAGAAAAGCCAGGCCTGTGTGTGTAAAACCCCAGCTTCAGGGACAGGGAGATGACAAACTAGCATGAGGATCTGACCTCTGTACTTAAGGGAGGGGATAGGTGGACCCTTGGAGCTCACTGGTTAGCCAGTACAGCCAACTGAAGACAAAGGCTCAAGGAGAGACCCTGAATCAAGATGAGAAGCAATGGAAAAGTCACTCAACGTCAACTCTGGCTCCATACTTGTAAGACTACACATGTGAGCATACACATGAACATACATTCACAAATACACCACACAAACCCACCCCCACCCCCACCCCCAAACAGCACAGCCAAAGACAACCTGGATTCTGTCATATAGGTTGATGGGGATGTCCTTCTATATATACGTTTCTCTTATTGGTTGATGAACAAAACACTGATTGGCAAATAGCCACGCAGTAAGCATATGTGGAGCTAGAAGAGAATTCTGCAGAGAGGGCTCAAGAGACACCATGTAGCCGCTGAAGGACTTACATGCTGGAGTCTTCTCTGGTAAGATAAGGCCACGTAGAAATACATAGATTAATAGGTATAGGTTAATAAAGAGCTAGACAGTATAAGCCTGGGCTATCAGCCAAATAGTTTATAAATAAGTCTCTGTGTTTATTTGGGGCAAAATGGTTTGGGACAAGGAGGGAAAGAAACTCCAATTACGATAGGTGTCTTAGCAACCTGCTTCATCTTCAGAAAGGGGGAGAGGGGAATGGTTTGTTTACTTCTCAGGGTTTTGAGAATAAATTTATACTTTAACAACCAGAACTGTGGCTCCTAGAAAAGGCTCTAGAATCCAGCATGGTAGCACACACCTTTAATCCCAGAACACAGACAGAGACAGGCAATCTCCGTGAGTTCAAGCCTAGCACAGTCTACTTAGTATCAGGTCAGCCAGAACTACACAGTAAGATCCTGTCTCAGAAAAAAAAAAAAAAAAAAAAAAAAATACAACAACAACAAAAAACCATTTCCCACTCCAATCCAACTCCCCACGAATAAAATTTTTTTTTTAAAAAAGACTTCAATATTTCCCCCAACTCCATTCTTTTGCTGATCCAATACTTAAGACAGCAAAAAATTTCAAAGGCAGATGGGTGAGGAGACAATAAAGGGTAAGGCCGGCTGGTCTGTGGCATATGCCTGTAATTCCAGAGCTTGGGAGAGGCAGCCTCATCTATAGAGCTAGTTCTAGGACAGCCAAGGCTACACAAAGAAACCCTGTCTTGAAAAAACAAACCAACAAAAAAGAAGGTAGGAGGGGACGGAAAGTCAGTAAAGTGCAGACTGCTCTTCCAGAGGACCAGGGTTCAATTCCCAGCACCCACATTAGGCAGGCTGGCTCATAACTTTAACTCAGCTCCCCGGAATCCTGGTTTTTGGCCTCTGTGGACACGTGCACACATACATCCCCACTCACATTTAAAGACAAAATATTTTGCTAAAGAAAGGAGAATAAGGTAGTTGCAGAGGGAGAGGGTCTGAGGGCTTGAGATAGTGGCCATCTCATCATCACCTGGTAGGTGAAGTGGTGACAGAGAGACACAGTAAACATGTTCTAGACCATTAATTAACGTATGCCAAGCTTAGAATTAAGAATGAACTAGAAAACAAAGCAAACAAATACAGACACACTGTCTCCTCAAAGAGCACCAAAATAATCTGAGAATAAGAGTCCAAAGCACTAACTGTGCTGGACTTTTTTGCTAAAAGCCTAAGATGGCTGTAGAAGTTTGAATGTAATAGGCCCCCATAATCTCATAGGGAGTGGCACTATCAGAAGGCATGGCTTTGTAGGAGAGGGTGTGGCCTTGTTGGAGGAAGTGTGTCACTGTGGGGGCAGGCTTTGAGGTTTCCTAAGTTCAGGATATCCCCCAGTGTCTCAGTTGACTTCCTGCTGCCAGCCTATCAACATGTAGGGACTCTCAGCTCCAGCACCACATCTGCCTCTATGTTCCCTGTCATGATGATAATGGACTGAACCTCTGAAACTGTAATCGAGCCACCCCCATTAAACGTTTTCTTTATAGCATTGTCATGGTAACTGTGTCTCTTCGCAGCAATAAATACCCTAAGACAATGGTCAACCCCCAGTAGTGAGAGATCACTGACTCAGGTCTGACAAATGGGGAGGGAACCTGCATAAGACTCCCTTAATATAGGTGACAATGGTGTGACTGGGACAATATATGAGGCCACTGGCAGTGGGTCCAAGATCTAACACACAAACTGCCCGTTCTGTATGGAGAGACACCTTACCCACCTAGTCACACGGGTGTGGGGGTGGAGAGGTGCCTTGGTCCTGCCTCAACTAGACAATGGGACAGACTTAGTAGACTTCCTAGAGGAGGCCTTACCCTCTCTAAAGAGCAGATGGAAGGTGAAGGTGAGGTGGAGGGAGCAGGAGGAGAGGAGGGAACTAGGATTGGACTGTAGTAGTAGTAGTAGTAGTAGTAGTAGTAGTAGTAATAATAATAATAATAATACAATGGTCAACTCAAAAACCAAGGCAAACAATGAGCAAACCATGAACCAAAGCCTAGTGAGATGGCTCAGGGGGAAAATACACTTTCCACAAGGCCAGACGATCCAAATTCAATCCCTACAAGACATGTAAAGGTGGAAGGAGAGAACTGAATGTGCCTTCTATACATGCATGCACACGCACACACACCGTGACAGACAATAAAGTAAATAAAAAGTTCTTGGTTATGCATTTAATTTTCAAATACTGAATCAAGGTTTGGGCATAGAGGCCCACACCTTTAATCCTAGCACTTGGGAGGCAGAGGCAGGCAGATTTCTAGTTCGAGGCCAGTCTACACAGTGAGTTCTAGGATGCTAGAGCTGTATATGTATCATTTTATCTTTACTGGGGGGAAAAATAATTTTAATAGTCTAAAGTCCCCTAATCTAGCCACATAACCAGACAGCCAAGTTCATTGTGGAGTGAACAGACCACTCCACAGACAGTG